GTAGAATAGAATAGAATAGAATAGAATAGAATAGAATAGAATAGAATAGAATAGAATAGAATAGAATAGAATAGAATAGAATAGAATAGTTTATTGGCCAAGTGTGATTGGACACACAACGAATTTGTCTTTGGTGCATATGCTCTCGGTGTACATAAAGAAAAAATAAAATATATTCGTCAAGAATCCTAAGATACAACACTTAGTGATAGTCATAGGATACTAATAAGCAATCAAATCATACTAGGAAACAATAAAAACTATATAAGTTATAAAGATACAAGTAACATGAATATAGCCATAAGTGGGAAGAGATAGCTAGTACTAGTAAGGATAAGAAGAAGAATAGTAATATAGTCTTAGTAGTTAATTTGACAGTGTTGTGGGAATTATTTGTTAAGCAGAGTAATGGCATTTGGGAAAAAACTGTCCTTGTGTCTTATTGTTCTGGTGTGCAGAGCCCTATAGCGTCGTTTTGAGGGTAGAAGTTGAAACAATTTATGTCCAGGATGTGAGGTTAGAATGGTAGGATCAGCCCTCACTCAAGATCCAAACCAGGAAAGCCATTCAGACACAAGAGGAATAGCCCAACACCCCTTCAGAACACGCCTCTTCATTGCATCACCCAGCAGGCTTCAAACTTGATTCAGACAAACTGACCCCACAGGACCACATGGGAATCTGACTACAGCAACCAATAGAAATACATGCCCTTGCCACAGGAACAGGAAGCTCAAGGGCAAGGCCCAAGAGAGGGTATAAATAACCCTCACTCTCCACTCCATGTGTTCAGCTGCCCAGGACCTCAAAACCCATGCGGTCCTGTCCATCTTTCCAAGCAGCCTCCATGTTTCTGATCTGTCCCCGTCCACACACACACACAAACACAGCCAGCCGAGGGTTAAGAAAGTACTTGGCACGCACACAGGTCGTTATCTCAAACTTGGCAGCAATATAATCACCGTCTGCCAAGAGCTTTTACTGCAACAGATAACATAAAATTACATACGCATTGCAAATAGTCCAGCAAAACAATATCCCTTTCGGCAGCTTCAGACGTTGTTCAAGTGACTAGCCAAAGTTCGTTTTTGTTCGTCACGGAGTTTTACCAGCCACCACCCTCTCTTATATAGTCTCTGAGGTGTGGTCCAGTGACTCAGTTCTAATCCCTAGCACGCCTCCTTAACTGCTGCAACCGTTTATCACGCCTTCGTTGGCGTGCATCCAGGAATGACGGCTCTCCTTCGCTCTCATCCGAGACACCTGGCTCCTGGCTAATCTCCTCTCCCTCGGCCGGCACCTGAGACAGTGCCAGAGGGGAGGGGCCTGGAGAGGGAGGCCTGGCTGACTCCTCTTCCTCATGTTCGGAGCTTTCTTCCTCCGATGAGATAGGCTCAGAGGGCGGGGCCACAACAGTTTCCAGTGTCTTCCTCCCCACTTGGAACTGAACCAGATGGACATTTCTTCCAACACACGCTAAGTAATGATGGCTAATTTTTGAACAAGCCAATCGGCTCCATTCTGAAGCAGAAGTTTCCATTCCTTCATCCTAGGCCGGGAGCAGAAATCTGGGTATTGAGGTCTAGTTGTCATCTTCTTCTTCTTTTTTTTTAAAGAAAATCAGAGAGTTCGGAAAGCCACAGTTAAACAGCACATTTTGTAGCCCTGGCACAATTTTGCTGGGTGGATCCCGTGACTCGGCAAACATATGTTAAAAGGAACAGTGTCAAGCCATTTGTTTAGGAAAGGCTCCCAACACATCTGTTCGTTGTTAAGGAGAGCGAAGAAGAGGATAGGAAGCCGTCATTCAGTCTTTGCAACGCGGTCGCTTAGACGTCATTGCAACAAATTCTATTGATGAATGTCAGAAGATGAATATTTTAATTGCTGGTGGTCAGAGCTGAGACAGTAATTTCTTTGTTCCTTTTGCTAGAAGGGCTTACTGCAGATTGAATTGCTTACTGCAGATCTCTTTCTTCTTCAGCTTTTTTTTTAAAAAAAAATCTTTTCCAGAATTTTTTTCCAAGTTGCAATCAGAGTAAAGGTAAAGGTTCCCGTCGCACATATGTGCTAGTTGTTCCTGACTCTAGGGGGCGGTGCTCATCTCCGTTTCAAAGCCAAAGAGCCAGCACTGTCCGAAGACATTTCTGGAACAAGGAACATTTCTGGAACAAGGAACAAGCTGGAACAAGGAACGGGAGCTCACTCCATTATGGTGCGCTAGGGATTCAAACCGCTGAACTGCCAATCTTCTGATCAATAAGCTCAGCGTCTTAGCCACCGAGCCCCCACATCCCCTTTTTGCAATCAGAAGTCATTGGCTATCTGGGTGAAGTTCATTCACCATGATTGGACACCAAGCAAACCTTCTGAAATGGCTCCACTCTTTTTGTGGCTCTCTTAAAGCAAGCATCAAATAAGAAGATCCTTCCTTTCACATCACTGAACTGTTTCTCTAAATTGTGTGTGAATCCACAATGTCATGTATTTTTAAACACTTCTTAACGTAAAACTTTGCTAAAGCTTTTAACTTTAAGAACGAGAACATTAGGTGAATCTGTGAACTTTTCTTTCTTTTGGGCTACAGAAATGTCCTATTTCTCTCAAATAACGCATGGACATAATGCGTTCAAAGTAACGTCTCCCCTAATGGGTTCCCTTTTTTTCCCTCCTTCCCACCCCATTCCACCCCCCAAATAAAAATCAATGCTATAAACCCCCATCGCCATAAATATTTCATTCTGCGTGGAATTGACTCGATTATCTATCTAGAACCTTTGCATTAAAATTGCAAAGCTTTTTCACCGTCCTTTGTCATTGAAAGGGAAATTAGAATCTTGTTGATGGATTGTTTTAAAAAAAACCAACTCACTCTTTTAAACTCACTTTTGTCTCCTCAAAATGGGCCAACAGATTTGGAAGTGCCTACCTTGAATTGGATTTAATTAGATCCACGGTGTGGTTCTTTTTATTACCTGACTTGCTTTGGTTGTAAAAGAAAGTCTGTTCGTAACAATCAGGTTGTTAATTGTTCCGACGGCAGAGTTTCAGAAGTTATTATTGTGATTCGTCGCTCAGTCTGCCAGATGTTTAGATTGGATTTGGCATTTTGATCCATCTATTAAATCCTCTCCAAGGATCTGAGATAAGCAGGTGGTGTTGTCTGATGGTGTTAAAAGTCTCGTCACAGGATGTAAGCTGTTCTGGGTAAAGCTGCCTTTTGCAATTGACCGATGATGATTTTGTCAATGCTGATGATGTCCAACGGGTGCTCCAGATGTTTTGAGAATGCGCCAAGGCTTTTGTTACTATCGGTAAAATTATTACTAGGGATGATCGCGCAGTTAGCCAGATGTTTAGACTGGAACTGGCATTTTCATCAACCCATTGAATCCTACCCAAGGCAGATGCTGTTGTTCGATACTGCATTATTATTACTGTTTGTTGGCGCATTCAGCCAGATGTTCAGAGTGGATTTGTCATTTTTAATCTGTCCAATCCTTCCCATGAATCTGGGAGGGGCATGTTGTGGTCCACCAGCAGCCTGCGGAGCTGGCAGCTGAGTAGGACAGTGAGGAGGCTGGGGAGGAGTCCTGGAGGCTGGGGAAGGCTCAGGCGAGGGCTCTGCATCGGAGGCAGAGAAAGGGCCATTTGGGAGGTACGTGTTGCCTCCGGAGCCTCAAGAGTTGGACCTCAGCAAGGCAGAAGAACAGGATGAGCTTGTTCCCAGTGCGCGCATGCGCAGAGCTGCCAGAAGGCAATAACAGTTAAAACAAAAGGGACGACTTGGGAGTAGGGCTTGGAGATGATTGGCCCCTCCCATAAGACTTAAAAGAGGAGCAAAGGCACGTGGGCCTTTGCAGGAAGCAACGTCGTTAATTCTGTGCAGTTTAAAGTCTGAAGCTCTGTTTGATCCTGGACTCCGTGTGGCTTTGCCAATTAGGTCTTTGGCAGCGTGTCAAGGGAGATAAAGGTTGGTGATTATCAGCCTTATCCCGAAGGACTGTTTACAACTATTTGGGACTCATCTGTGAATGAACAGAATTCACAGCTGTTGCAATAAAAGAGGTTTTGGGGACTTCTTGTGTGTTTTACTGACTCAGGAAGCCTAGGTCAGAACAGGACAGATGTTGTTGTTTGATGGCATTAAAGGTATCATCGCAGGATGTAAGCCGTTTTAAAGCTGCCTTTTGCAATTGACCGATGGGGATTTTGTCAATGCCAGGAGGGTTCAAGGGGTGCTTCAGTTGTTTTGGGATTGAAGCCAAGATGCCTATTCCAATTGGTACTATCTTTGCTTTCTTTTGCCACAGTCATTCTATTTCTTAAAGCTTTTAAGAATTGAGAACATTAGATGAATCTGTAGCCCTTTCTTTTTAAAATTGTTTATTAAACTTATATCCCACCCATCTCACTATTGATCAAATCTTCGTTTCATAGCCCAGCCTATTCACTCATGTTCTTCTTTTTGTTGCTGGTAAACCATCTTTCCTAGCTTATATCCTCTTTGTTTGCCACCTGTTTTAAAATTTCCATTAGTTGAACTCTTTGATTCATGTCTTTTCAGTTTATTTTTATTTAAACCATTTACACGGCCACCTATCTCACACAAAGGTGAGTCCAGGTGATGTACACGCATTAAAAAAACACAACTGTATAGCAACAAATTAACAAACGGAGGTTACAAGCCTTAACCCAACATTAACCAGCACAAAATTAATTCACAATAGCTCTCAAGCAGAGAGATAATTCTCTAGATAAGAGCAAAATTCTACTGCTCAGAGATTGGCACCATTTGGAGATGAGATATTTTTAAAATAAAAAAATGGGAAGGGTGCCATCTTGCCTTTTGAAGGAAGCAAAATATTTTTGGTTGGTCTGACGGCTTTATTCCCTATTTATCTTATTTCGCAAGTTTCTTCATCTTCCTTTCATGGTAAAGATACACCTCAAAAAGGAACGTCTTCTTAATCCTTTGCTGTTCTCCTTCTGTTGTCCAGATTTATTAGAAAACAAGGCCTTGATCGATTGTTTCTGGAATGTGACACCCACATGTGGAGACTCGGAGACCGGAAAATTCCAGAAGGAATCACTGTGGATGGTGGTTCCGATTGGTTTCTACTGAACAGGAAGTTTGTCGAATACATCACATTTTCAACGGATGACCTGGTGACCAAGATGAAACAGTTCTATTCCTTTACTCTGCTTCCTGCTGAGGTGAGTCAACCGGGATAGTATTCACTTACCTTCGCTACCGGTTCACAAATGTGAGCGCACGCCAGTGGTGGGTTGCTACCGGTTCTCCCCGGTTCTTGCGAACCGGTAGTGGAAATTTTGAGTAGTTCGGAGAACCGATAAATACCACCTCTGCCTGGCCCTGCCCCCAATCTATTCGCTGCCTCCCGAGTCTCAAAGGCCACCGTACCCAATGGGAGGCTGTCTCATTGCCTGGGACTTCTAAACGTTGAAATTGCAGTGATCTGATTTTTTGTTTTTAAAAAAAAAAAGGAAAAGGAAAAGGCGGAGGGGGGAGGAAAAAACCCAGCTTCCCTTCCAGATCAGAGTTCTGGTCTGCCTTCAAACAGCAAATAATGGCGTAAGCGTTTTGGAAATAATTGCAGGAGACAGCTTGTCCTTGGAAAGTGTGGGGAGGGGGCGAGTGGCATAATTCAGCATGAGATCATTATAAACATATTAGAGCTTCCAAGTAAAGCAGCCAGGTTGTTTGTCGATGTTTTGATTTTGTTTTATTTTGCAGTTCGGGGTGTTGGGTTTTTTTGTTTTTATCGGGGGTTTGTTTTGATAATATTTCTTGAAAATGGATTTGTTCACGCACACGTCTGGCCTGCAGCGAAGGCCCTGGGAAATTTATCCCCAGAAACAAACCTTGGAGTGGAGAGAAAATGAGCCAAGCGTTCAAAGCCGCATCCTCTGTTTCCTTTGCTCCTTTTTAATACAAGTAGTGTTCCACTTACGAACAGTTCATTTACCGACAGTTCAAAGTTACGACGGCGCTGAAACATGCGGCTTACGAACCGTTTTTTCACACTTTTCACCATTGCGCTCAAGACTTCCTTATTTCATCAAGCTGGCCTGGCCTAAATCTTCTCCCCTTTTAAATGTAAATTTTAATTTGTTTTTAAATTATTGGGTATTTTAAATTTGTCTCAGCCAAATTATTTAATTCGTTTTTATTCTATTTTAAATTTTTGTATTTATGTGTTTTATTCTGCGGCTGTTCACCGCCCTGAGTCCTTCGGGAGTAGGGCGGTATAGAAATCCAATAAAATAAATAAATAAATTGCAGCGTCCCCATGGTCGATCACGCGATCAAAGTTGGCAAAAGACTCATATTTATGATGGTCACAGTTTCCCGGGGTCACGGGATCCGCTTTTGCGACCTTCTGATAAGCCAAGTCAACGGGGAAGCCAGATTCACTTAACAACCGTGTTACTAATTCAAGAACGGCAATGATTCACTTGACAAAGGCCGCAAGGAAAGTCGTAAAATGGGGCAGAACTCAAAATTTCTCACTTAGCAACATAAATGTTGGGCTCCGTTGTGGTCGTACGTTGAGGACTACCTCTATTAAGGTCGCAGAGCGTATGTCACACTTCAAAGTTCAACGCTGCCATAACTCTCCTAAACTAGAATGGATTTTTTTTTTTCTATTTAGTATATGGGTTCCACAGTTCGGTTCAATATGTTTGGTTTTAAACCACAAAAAAGCCAAAATTAGACTATTTTAGACATGGGATGCGACACCCGGAAAGATACGGCATCCTTCACTTAATCCTCCAGGGAAAGATTGAAGGCAAACAAAGTCCAGGCAGAAGAAGAAGAACATGATGGCTTCAAAATCTGGTTTGGACAAAACTCAGCAGCACTTTTTCGTGCGGCTGTTGATAAAAATAGGATCGTCAACATGATCGCCAATGTCCGATGACAGATGTGGAAGAAGAAGAAAGAAGAGGAGGAAGAGGAGGAGGAGGAGGAGGGGGAGGAGGGGGAGGAAGAAGAAGAAGAAGAAGAAGAAGAAGAAGAAGAAGAAGAAGAAGAAGAAGAAGAAGAAGAAGAAGAAGAAGAAGAAGAAGAAGAAGAAGAAATTAGAATAGAATAGAATAGAATAGAATAGAATAGAATAGAATAGAATAGAATAGAATAGAATAGAATAGAATAGAATAGAATAGAATTAGAATTCTTTATTGGCCAAGTGTGATTGGACACACAAGGAATTTGTCTTGGTGCATACACTCTCAGTGTATATAGAAGAAGAAGAAGAGGAAGAAGAAGAGGAAGAGGAAGAAGAAAAGGAAGAGGAAGAGGAAGAGGATGAGGAAGAAGAACCACCTTTTAATCTTTAGTTTCTCAACAACAACAACAACTTTTTAATCTTTAGTTTCTCCCTGAATGGGAGAGATATCCAAGAGCCAGTTCTTTGTCAAAGGCATTGCGTCAGTGAAAGCCTTAATAGAGGAGTCCTCAATCTTTTGAGTTGGGGACCCCCAGGTGAGGACTGGTGGGATGGAGGAGTAGACAAACAACGTTGGAGAGGAGTCAAATGTTTTTAAAACCCAAACAAGTTTGTAAAACTTAGTCTAACCTTTGCTACTCATCTTCCCTGCACAATTATCAGATGAACAGAATTGGAAGGGACCTTGTAGGTCATCTAGTCCAACCCCCCACCCAAGCAGGAGACCTTATACCATTTCTGACAGATGGCAGTCCAGTCTCTTCTTGAAAGCCTCCAGTGATGAAGCTCCCACAACTTCTGAAGGCAACTTCTGTTCCATGGGTTGATGGTTCTCACTGTCAGGAAATTCCTCCTTATTTCCAGGTTGAATCTCTCCTTGGTCAGTTTCCATCCATTATTCCTCGTCTGGCCTTCAGGTGCTTTGGGTATTATGAGTAATCCTCATCATACAACCACAAGCTTTCTGTTGCTAAACAAGACAGTCGTTAAGAGTTTCGACCTGTTTTACGACCTTTCTCACCACAGTTAAATGAACCACTGCAGTTGTGAAGTTAGTAGCATGGTTGTTACGTGACTCTGGCTTCCCTATTGAATTTCCATGCCTGCTCGCTGTCTAAACTCTTGTCGTTTTTTCCCCCGCAGTCTTTCTTCCACACCGTCTTGGAAAACAGCCCTCATTGTGACACCATGGTGGACAATAACCTGCGTATCACAAACTGGAACAGAAAGCTGGGGTGCAAATGTCAGTACAAGAATATTGTGGATTGGTGTGGCTGTTCCCCCAATGATTTTAAGCCATCTGATTTTCACCGGTTCCAGGTGAGTTGTGACCTGAATGGGTCCTTCTTTCCGGAAGTAAAAGGCCAGATCTGCCTGCCTGCCTGCCTGCCTGCCTGCCTGCCTTCCCTCCCTCCCTCCTTGAAATCCAGGGTTAGAAAGAGTCAATAAATTTCTTTGGTAAATTTTAATTGTTTTAATAGTTGTACAGATTCAGACACAGACACAGAGACAGAGAGACAGCTGGATAGATAGAGAGAGAGAGAGAGAGAGAGATAAGGATAGATAGATAGAAGATAAATGATAGGTAGATAGACAGACAGACAGGCAGGCAGGCAGGCAGGCAGGCAGGCAGGCAGACAGACAGACAGACAGATAGATAGATAGATAGATAGAAGATAAGAGATAGATAGATAGATAGATAGATAGATAGATAGATAGATAGATGATAAAATAGATAGATAGATGATAGATAGATAGATAGATAGATAGATAGATAGATAGATAGATAGAAGATAAATGATAGGTAGATAGATAGACAGACAGACAGACAGACAGACAGACAGCTAGGTAGATAGGTAGATAGATAGAAGATAAGAGATAGATAGATAGATAGATAGATAGATAGATAGATAGATAGATAGATAGATAGATGGATGGATGATAGATAGATGATAAAATAGATGATAGCTAGATAGAGAGATAGAGAGATAGATAGATAAATAGATAGAAGATAAATGATAGGTAGATAGATGATAGATAGAGAGACAGACAGACAGACAGACAGACAGACAAAGATATAGATAGACCAGACTTAGAATAACTTTATTGTCACTTTGAATGTACACTAATCGGCATATATTAAAATGAAATTTTGTTGCATATAGCTCTCAAAGGGTCTCCATCTCTAATATACATACAGATAGATAGATGATGGATGGATGGATGGATGGATGGATGGATGGATGGATGGATGGATGGATAGATAGATAGATAGATAGATAGATAGATAGATAGATAGATAGTTGATAGATAGATAGATGCCATATAAGATACCAACACTGAAGTATTTTTAAGAACTTTCTTGATTTGCTAGCATGGAAGAACATTTTAGGATTAAGCAACTTGATGTTCTCCAGATGTTTGGGATTTTAGTCTCCATCAGCTCCCAGGCAAGCTTGGCCAACAGTGAAGAATTTGCATTCAGAAATCAAAGCCTTGAATTCAAGCACTCAGATCTAATTTTTCCTTCTGAAACCTATTCCTCCCCCACAGCAAACGGCAAGACCAACCTTCTTTGCCCGCAAGTTTGAGGCGGTTGTCAATCAGGAAGTCATCTCTCAGTTGGATTATTACCTCTATGGTAACTATCCTTCTGGTACCCCGGGCCTTCGATCCTACTGGGAGAATGTCTACGATGAACCAGATGGGATCCACAGCATTAGTGATGTTGCATTGACTCTCTACCACTCTTTTTCCCGTTTGGGCCTGAAGAAAGCAGAAACGTCCTTCCATACGGATGGTGACAACAGTTGCCGGTAAGATCAAACAAGTCTTCCTTTCATCTGCAGTTCCAAATCATCACACCAACTACAGGTTGCATCTCTGTTTAAACAGTATTGAGAAGCTGGGGATCTCTAGATGTTGGTGAACTACAAGTCCTAACATCCTTCCTTCATAAGCATGATCCTCACCAACTCTTGAAGGTCAGACCTGTTCTAGAAGATGGCCCAATGTGCTAGAGATAGAAATTGAGCTGTCCTCCTTATATTCTACTCCAACATTTTGTGTCAGCGTAGAATTTTTTTTGCGGCATTGACTTTTCTCTCTTTTGAAGTCTGTGGCCCAATCTGTAGGAATATATGTTTTCCATAACTACTTATTGGGAGTAGCTTTTGCTAGAGCTGGGTAGAAAAAGATCAGCTGGAGGACTTGTTTCCTTTCCCAATTCTCCGGCAGATAGATGAAAGAGAATGACTTTTGAAAGGAAGAGAAGAGAGATTCCCTGAAATTTAATGATCATCTGTGATATTCTTGGTTTCTCTTGTTCACCAGATATCTGGTCTTCTATTGCTCCTTCATCTCTCTAACAATCTTCTGTGTCCTCTGCTTCTCTATCTTGCATTAAATCCAAAGGTTAACCCAGGAATTTTGCTTCTAAAAGTTCTTTCTGTAGCTGATCCTTTGCTTCTCAATTATTGTTTTAATGAATATCATTATTCTTTCTTCTTCGATCCTTTGTTTGTTTTTTTCCAGATACTACCCAATGGGGCATCCAGTGTCAGTCCACCTCTACTTTCTCGCTGATCATTTTCAGGGCTTCCTCATCAAACATCACACGACCAATTTGGCTGCCAGTAAACTGGAGACCTTAGAAACATGGGTTATACCTAAGAAAGTGTTCAAGATTGCAAGCCCACCGAGTGATTTTGGAAGGCTACAGTTCTTGGAGGTATACATTGCTCATCTATATAATTGGAAGTGAAGATACTTCGAATCCCTAGTTGAAGTGTTAGTTGTGGGTGGGAGGCATAGTGGAGTTTTGAAATGGATGATTTTATTGATAGTTGGGTTGGGTTGGATTGAGTTAGGTTGGATTGAGTTGGGTTGGGTTGGGTTGGGTTGGGTTGGGTTGGGCTGGAATGAGTTGAGTTGAGTTGAGTTGAGTTGGGTTGCGTTGGGTTGATTTCTATAGCTGCCCAAACAAGTTATCCTTGGCAGCGTACATTATAGAACACAAAAGTAATTTAAAACAATTACAACTATTAAAACAATTAAAATGGTACAAAATAAATTATATGGCACCAAGTAAAACTATTACAATGGATCTAATACAGCCAAGAAACAGGACCCTTCATCCACTTGGCACCCCAAGCATGGGCATACAACCAAATTTTCCTGGCATTACAAATGACCAACAGGGTACTGGGAATCATCTTGATCACTGAAAGGAAAACTATGAGCCACGGTGGTGCAGTGGTTAGAGTGCAGTACTGCAGGCTACTTCTGCTGCCAGCTGCCTGCAATTTGGCTGTTCAAATCTCACCAGGCTCAAGGTTGACTCAGCTTTCTGTCCTTCCGAGGAGGGTAAAATGAGGACCCAGATTGTTGGGGGCAATATACTATCTGTCAGGGTTCCGATGGATGCCCTAATTAAATCATGAGCCTCGAGTCAAGCTTCAAAAGAAATCCAGTTATTTATTAGGAGCTTCATGTACGCCTTGAGCTTCACGTTCCAAGTGAAGCCAACTCTGACCCCACATAATTTATGGCCCTGGCTTGACCCTGTTCCCCCCTCCCCCCAGTGTGTAATCAGTCACATTCACCAACGGAGCAATTTCATGGGTTGTAGAGATCACTCCCCTCCGGCCGATGTGGGTAACCCTGGGAGATAGCCTTGAGAGAGATATGCCTGGACTGTACTTTTGTTTTTGCCGTGCTGCTTTGCCACTTTCCCATCCCCCTTGCCTATGGCAACTTGTGAGCAGGCCAGGGATCTTTGCAAGTTGACACTGACTCTGTAAACCGCTTAGAGAGGGCTGTGAAGCACTGGGAAGCGGTATATATTGCTATTCAGGAGGGCAGGTGCTATGGCAGAGAAGGCACATCTCCTGGCTCCCACCAGCCAACACTCCTTGGCTGACAGGAGCCTTCAACATGGCCAAACGCCCAGTCATTTAGACATTGAAACCTTAATTAACCAAGCTGGCTGGTTCACACAACACGTTAACATGCTGTTTGAACACGTTTCCAAGTCTTTATCCAGTCTGCTTCAGCAGCATGTTGCCTAAATGAAGCCAGTGGCTTCCTTGCTCACTTCTTGAAGGCGGAAACAAGATGGCTTTGGTTGAACTTAAAAGTGTCCAAGAATCTTTTGCACTAAACCGAATCAGGAAAACCGGAGAGGGGAAGGGAGAAAGTTGGTTTCTGGCCTTGTTTAACAGTTGCCATTCATCATGGAGGGGAAAATTAACTAGGCAGCAGGCAATTAGTGTTCCCCCGTGTGAACTGAACAGCCCCTGTTTACGATGAACAATTAGAGACAAACCAGTAGTCAAAACATTATTTGTCTTGGCCAAATGATGCATCAGCCTAGGAGGGGGAGCGAAAAAGATGGGGTTTTCAAGCTGCAAAAACTGAATCAGGAGCCAAGGGATCTGCAGATGGGACTGAGGAGAAGACCAGATTGCTCAGGAAGGATGTCTGTCTGTCTGTCTGTCTGTCTGTCTGTCTGTCTGTCTGTCTGTCTGTCTGTCTGTCTGTCTATGTATGGTATCTATCTATCAACTATCTATCTACCGGTATCTACCATCTATCTATCATCTATCTATCTATCTACCTGTAATTATCATCTAATCTATCATCTATCTATCATCTATCTATCTACCTATCTACCTATCTATCTATCTATCTATCTATCTATCTATCTATCTATCTGTATCTATATCAATTTCTGTCTATTTATCTATTCATCTATAAATCTGTATGTATGTATCTATATCTATCTCTATTTATCTATCTATCATCTATCATCTATTTATCTGTATGTATGTATCTATATCTACATCTATCTATATCTATCATCTAGATAGATGTATCTATCTATCTCTATCTATGTATCTATCTATCTGTATGTATGTATGTATGTACAGTATCTATATCTCTATCTATGCAAAAAATTAAAATCTCGGGTGTTTTCGCGTCATTATAAATAAGTTGGTTAAAATATTTAAAATCCTGGTTAAAATCCCAGTTTAAAATCTTCTAAAATCCTTACAGAGCATTCTGCAAGGTCTTTTAAAACCTCAGCTAAAATCCTACCAGTGACTTTAAAAGTTTTTCTTAAAGCAACGTTTCGACAGGCTCACAACCCTGTCATCTTCAGGCTCTGTTTCTCTGTATCTCTATCTCTATCTCTGTATCTCTATCTATTTATCTATCTATCTCTATCTATCAATATAATCTCTATCTTCACTGATAAGTCTATCTATCTTATTCTATATCTACACATTGCTGCCTATCAGTCTCTCTCTCTCTATCTGTCTCATTCTATATCTATACCTATGATTGGCCTGAACACTTTTGAAGATACTTCGTATTTCCATAAGTGATGCGCTCCTGAAAAGCAGCCATTCCAATATTTCCTTGAGCGTCAATCTAAGATATCAATACTTTGTAGAAGAGGAACAAGCCCCATAGCAATGGGGGATATCGATCTCAAAGCGAAAGCTGAACCTTCCCAAATAAAGGAATTTCTCAGTTGTGTTGGTATAATAACATCTGTAATGTGAAGAACTTCAGCAGAAACATCAGTCTACCTGTAGCCCTGCGTCTGTCCGTCCGTCTGTCCGTCCTTCCTTCCTTCATTTTATTTAGTTAGCTAGCTACTTAGTTTGTTATTCAATTGATACGGCTGCCCATCTCCAACAAGTGACCCTGGGCAACGGACAATCACAAAATCAATCAAAACCAAATTGGTTTTGCATTCCTATCGATTCGAAACAGGGAAACGTACACAGTACACATTGACGAGTAGCTGTGTACTGTGCAAGGGACCTCCAAGGTCTCTGATCTGTCCCCGTCCACACACACACACAAACAAACACAGCCAGCCGAGGGTTAAGGAAGCACTTGGCACACACCCAGGTCTTTATCTCCAACTTGGCAGCGATATACACACCGTCTGCCAAGTGCTTTTATTTCCACAGAAACAGAAAGATAATATACTCAGCGTACAAGAGTCCAACAGAATTAATATTCCTCTCAGCAGTTTTGGACGAGGCTTTAGTGACTATCCAAGGTTTATTTTTGTTCGTCACAGGGATCACTGGCCACCACCCTCTATTATATAGTCTCTGGGGTGTGGTCCAGTGACTCAGTTCTAATCCCTAGCACGCTTCCTGAGCTGCTGCAATCATTTATCACGCCTTCGGAGGCGTGCGTCCAGGAATGACGTCTCTCCCTCACTCTCATCCGAGACACCTGTCTCCCTGCTAATCTCCTCTCCCTCGGCCGGCTCCTGAGACAGTGCCAGAGGGGAGGGGCCTGGAGAGGGAGGCCTGGCTGACTCCTCTTCCTCATGCTCGGAGCTTTCTTCCTCCAATGGGATAGGCTCAGAGGGCGGTGCCACAACAGTCTCTTCCAACTCTGTTATTCCTGTTATTTCTGATTTAGTCCCTTTTCATGGTCTCCTTGAAGTCAGACTTAAGTCTCGATGGATACAAGGGCGTGTATCCAGGATCCAATTCCTGAATACACCCGTGCTGTTTTCTTGGTATCGCTATGAAAATACTTAGCTACAGTTTTCTTCCAAGATATATTCTCAATTTCTCCGACTAAGGTACGGCCCTTGGATGTCTCCCAGCTAAGTACTAACCTACCCTGTCTCTGCTTAGCTTTTCCAAGATCAACCGAGGTCAGGCTGCTGCTGCTGCCTGCAGTTGAGAAAGATCCTTCTCAGCCCTGCAATTAATTTTAAAACAAAAATAACGATACTAGAGAACCACCAGGGTAGAATAAGTACATTCTCTTGGTTGTATTAAATCATCATCCTGTCCAGTGCATAAACTGTGTCCCAGGATGACCAGCTAAAAAGAATGCGAAACATTCCCGAGAACAAACAGGTAGTTAAAATAGGTTGCCCCGTGGATTAGGAGGCAGAAAATAGTACCAAGATTAGTAGCCACTGAGTTCCTGGTCCTCTGAATGTATCTCATCTTTTTTTATATATAAAAAGAAGCCATCTAAATTGGTCTCTCCTTGGCAGGGGTGGCCCATGTCATCCCATGCATTGTGGTTTTGAGGTCGACGAGGTAGGATGGACACCCTTGTTCTACTAACCTGACGTCCTTTGAGCGTTTGCTAAACGGCAATTTGGGTTGGCCGTTTAGATGGTAGGTTGCAACTTGTGGTAGCTGGGCGGCCACTGAAAGCTTTTTGCCCCGTTTGCAAAGTGCCTCTTTGTCTCTTTTGCAAAAGTTGTTGTGTTTGTTTGGGGGTGGGTGGGTGGGTTTGCACTTTCTCTCATTAAAATCAGAGAGAGTACTCTGAAAGGGAGCAGGAAAATAACCTTGCCCAGATTATAGGGGGAAAGATCATCTTCCCAAATGTTTTTGGGATAAAATTAGCGTCCGTAGCCAGAAATAACTCCCTGCAATTAGAAAGCTCACAGTTGGGTAGGAGAAAGTTTTCTAGCTTTAAAAGGAAGCCATCTTTTGCTTTGAAGACCCAGCTAAGCGACGTTTTTGGATTGTGAGAGTTGTTGGATTTGAAAATAGATATATATATCCTTAGGTTTTGGAAAAGGAACGCAGTGGATCAGTGGCTAAAACGCTGAGCTTGTCGATTGAAAGGTCGGCAGTTCAGCGGTTTGAATCCCTAGTGCCACGTGATGGGGTGAGCTCCCGTTACCTGTCCCAGCTTCTGCCAACCTAGCAGTTCGAAAGCACATAAAAATGCAAGTAGAAAAATAGGGACCACCTATGGTGGGAAGGGAACAGTGTTCCGTGCGCCTTTGGCGTTGAGTCATGCTGGCCACATGACCACGGAGACATCTTCGGACAGTGCTGGCTCTTCAGCTTTGAAACGGAGATGAGCACCGCCCCCTAGAGTCGGGAACAACTAGCACATATGTGTGAGGGGAACCTTTACCTAAGTTTTGGAAAAATTTCCAAGTTTTGGCTTTAATCAGATATTCATCATTCTTTGATTACACATTCGCTACACATTTTTCTCTACAGATGATTTTCGGGGAGGGCTTATTTTCGGAGGGAGGCTTATTTTAACACATGCGCTCAAAAGCCCAATTGGGCTTATTATCAGGGGATGTCTTATTTTCGGGGAAACAAGGTAGTTAAAAAAATGCTTTAAAAGTATTTTTTTTTAAATTCCGATGGTCACGCGTCACTCAGCTGATCTTCGGGACTTTTTTTTTTTAAGCATTTTTTACTACCGGTTCGCCGGAACCAGTAGTAAAAAATGCTTTAAAAAGGTTTTTTTTAAAAAAGGTTGCGACGCTCACAGCTGTGGCGTGTGAGCTTGGGAACCTTTTTAAAAACTTTTTAAAAGCATATTTTTACTACCGGTTCTCCGGTAGCATGCACAGCTAGCAAACCAGTTCAGATTTCACCACTGGTACCCATCATATGTAAGATGGTGCCCATAATATGCAAGGACAGGGCTTTAATCACGTAATCCTGACAGCGACCTTAACTTTCTTGACCTTTGTCCAGACGCTATTTTGAGATGGCAAAATTAATCTTATTTCGCCTCCCTTCTTCAGCTAAAAAGAAATCCTGTTCTTTTTCTTCTGTCTGATTAATATTTGCTAGTTGAAACAAAGGGACCTGTTCAACTCTCTCCGTCATTGGAAGAAACATCTAATGCTTGATGCTAATTAATTCAGATGGTATTGTTAGGGTGTATAGCATCACAGAAATTATTCATCTATTGCAAAGAAGAGAAGGCAATGTATTAGACTGGTCCAAAAGTTGAAAGTGATCTTTTAAAAACTCAAGGTGTAACAGCCGTAATCATTCATGAAACATTTCACTTAACTTGCATCTTGAAAGCCAGTGCTTTAGTTCCTGCATTAGTAAATTTGTCCTTTTCCCCTCTGGAATTATGCTTTAAAGGGTTGAAATTGTATATTGAAGCCATTAAAAGAAAAAAAGTGTTTGGCTTCTTCCTGGAACAATTGCAAAAGGCCAGAAGAAACAGCATTATTAATCTGGAGTTGGTATTAGAAAGTTCGATATTTAAATATCACTTTGCTTTTATATTCAGGAGAGCTGAAGTCATCTAACGCATGTTGATTAAACCAGATCAATACTTAGCTCTGGTCAACGTTTAATGAATTTGGGTAGAATTTGCTCTTTTTATATATAATTTGTCATCTACCTATAAATAAATCATTTATTGATGTGTTATTTAAACTGGTACTATGTTGCTGTGAAGTTATGGAATGGGGAGCCCCAGGTTCCAGAGTCCCCCATGGGCTCTACCTGGGCGACTCTAGGACAACCCAACAACCTCACAAAGCTGTTGTAGGGAAAACAGCTATTTCTATGCATGTTGCCTTGAATTTTTGTAACAACCAGTTGGTGAATGAGCAGCCATTGTTGTTGTTGAGTTTGGATATTTAATCCAAACCAGTTCAGGGTAACCAGATGTTAATTTTAGTCTGGTTCACCGAACCGCTTGTTGCAAGGACTAGTTGACCCCGCCCACCCTGCCCCGCCCCTCCCAGGAGTCTCCACATGGCCTGTTTTGAATGCCTGGTAAGTGCAGGGCCCACATGGTGGCTCTGGGAGGGCGAAAAACGGGCCTACTGGAAGTACAGGAAGTCCGAAAATGGGCCCGTTTTCGGCCTCTGGAGGATTTCCAGATCCTGGGGGAAGCCATTTTCACCCTCCCAGAGGCTCAAGGAAAGTCTTTGGAACCTGGGGAGGGCAAAAAATGGGCCTACTGGAAGTACTGGAAGTCCAAAAATGGGCCCGTTTCCGGCTTCTGGAGGGTTTCTGGAGCCCGGAGGAGGCCATTTTCACCCTCCCGGAGGCTCGAGGAAAGCCTTTGGAGCCTGGGGATGGTAAAAAATGGGCATACCAGAAGTACCAGACGTCCAAAAACGGGCCCATTTCTGGCCTCCGGAGCCTGGGGGAGGCCATTTTCACCCTCCCGGAGGCTTGAGGAAAACCTCTGGACTCTGGGGAGGGCAAAAACACCTCCACTCCCCCACCCACCCCCCGTGGTGCAGGAAGCTCACGCCCTCAAAACTAGGAGGGCGTGAGGGTTTGTTCTCTGTCTCCTTTCTATCACTTGATGTGATTACCTAGTTGGGTCATGAAATGTCTGCAAGAAAACAACTAAGCTCAGAGAGCACCAAATATCCCACACGGTAAGTTTCTTCTGGGGCTATTTTTGTGAGAGTTTCCATGACAACATCATCGTCGTCGTCATCACACTATTTTCAAATCAACCCAATATGCTACACACTAGCGCAGTGTTTCTCAACCTGGACAACTGGAAGTGTTGTGGTCCGCCAACAGCCTGCGGAACTGACAGCAGAGTCGGGCAGTGAGGAGGCTGGGGAGGATCATGGGCCAGTCCTGGAGTGTGTGGAAGGCTCGAACGAAGGCTCTGCGTCAGAGGCAGAGAAAGGGCCATCTGGGAGGTACATGCTGCCTCCGGAGCCTCCAGAGTCGGACCTTAGCGAGACAGAGGAACGGGGAGCCTATTCTGTGCAGAACTGCCAGAAAGCAAGAACAGTTAAAACAAAAGGGACGACTCGGGAGTAGAGCTGGGAGATGATTGGCCCCTCCCATAAGACTTAAAAGAGGAGCAAAAGCATGTGGGCCTTTGCAGGAAGCAACGTTTGTTCATTCGGTTCAGCTTAAAGCCTGAAGCTCTGTTTGATTCTGGACTCCGTGTGGCTTTGCCAATTAGGTCTTTGGCAGTGTGTCAAGGGAGATAAAAGTGGGTAATTATCAGCCTTATCCTGAAGGACTCTTTATAACTAATTGGGACTCATCTGTGAATGAACAGAATTCACAGCTGTTGCAATAAAAGAGGTTTTTGGGACTACGCGTGTGTTTTAATGACTCAGGAAGCTTAGGTCAGAACAGGAAAATGGGTGGACTTCAACTCCCAGAATTCCCCAGCCAGAATTTTTTTAAAACATTCTGGAGGTATCAATGAATGCTGAAATTTTCTCATAGGTTATGCATGATATGCAACCTTTTCCTAAACAGTAGAGATAAAGTCACAGAGTTATTTCTGACACCTTCACTTCCTGTTCTTTTAGGTTGGAACAGACTGGGATGCGAAAGAGAGAATATTCCGCAATTTTGGAGGGTTTCTTTCTCCGACGGATGAGCCGGTGGGCATGCAGAAATGGGCGAAAGGTCCCAATGTCACCGTGACGGTGATCTGGGTGGACCCCGTCAACGTCATCGCTGCCACCTACGATATCCTGATCGAATCCAGTGCCGAATTCACCCATTACAAGCCACCTCTGAATTTACCCCTCCGGCCCGGAGTCTGGACGATTAAAATCCTGCATCATTGGGTCCCTGTGGCAGAAACCAAATTCCTGGTCTCCCCTCTGACATTTTTGAACAAGCAAGCCATCCGACAAGGTAAGTAAGCCTTTATTATTGTTTTTTTCAAAATCAGAAAGCGAATGAAACAATTCGGAGCAAAATAAGTATATTCTAAGTTTTTTATTTTTTTTTATTGTTTACAAACATATCAAATCAGTGTGTGAATAATGTGGCACCTGAGTGTCATACATCCTAATACAAATAGAACTAGTAAAATTAATCATAATTATAAAATTCAATCAACTTATATATTTCTAATCAGGATACACAATTATAATAAGTTGCAATCTGTCATTGTTCAATTATTCCATGTTTTCCCTTATTGTTACTTTTGTTTTATTATATAAAAGGGTATACACTAACATTCCCCCTTCTCTTATTTCTATCACTTATTCTAACATTTAATCATGTCACCTTTTACTAAAAAAAAAAACCATTTTCTTTCTATCCTACCTAACTTCTAGTCATGTCACCTACCTAAAAAATAAATAAATAAGAGAGAGAAACGGAAAAGCAAATCAAAACAACAACAGAAAAGAAAAATCATCTATCCATCATCTCTTGCCCGTTTCAATACTTTAATTGCTATGCTTTTTTTTAAAAAAAAAAATTGCCTCCCAAATTCCTCTCCTGGCTCGCTATATCTGTCAGAATCTGCTTCTTGGCTACTCAATCTAGATATTACTAAAATCAGAAGTTCAGTTGACTTTGTCTCAACTGAAAAGGTAGGATTTTCTTCTCCGCTCTTTAGGAGCGGAGATATCAAGGACTTGGGATAATGATCACAGCAGTTTATTTATCTCCAGAGGTCATGTCACAACAATGAAGCAAAGCTTTACAGATACAGGTAGTCCTCGAATTACAACGGTTCATTTAGTGACCGTTCGGGAGTGATGCAGTGGCCTAGGGGTGGAACTCTCACCTTACAATCAGGAGGCTGTGAGTTCGATCCTAGGTAGCGGCAGATATTTCTCTGGGCACAATGAGTAATTATCTGCTGCAAACTCTGCATTGGCGACAGGAAGGACATCCTATCAGTAAACACTCAGCTCCATTCAGTTGCCCTGACTCCACCCCGATGTAAGGGATTACGGGGTCATTAAAAGAAAAGCCTTGATAATACAGTGGTCTACGCACCCTGTTATTAACACAGCTGCCTGCAATTTACTGCTGGTTCGAATCTCTCCAAGGCTCAAGGTTGACTCAGCCTTCCATCCTTTCTAAGGTAGGTGAAATGAGGACCCAGTTTGTGGGGGCAATAAGATGACTTTGTATAAATATACAAAAGTATGAAGGCTATTGCTTAACGCATTGTAAGCCGCCTTGAGTCTCCGGAGAAAGGCGGCATATAAATCAAATTTTTTTAAAAAAATGTTAGTGACCATTTGAAGTGGCTTATGAAAAGTGATTTTTCACACTTATGACCATTGCAGCATCTCCATGGTCAAAGGATCAGAATTCAGACACTTGGCAACTGACTCACATTTATGACAGATGCAGCGTCCCCCAAGTCACGTGATCCTCCTTTGTGACCTTCTGGCAAGCAAAATCAACAGGGAAGCCAGATTAATTTAACAACTGTTTTACTAACTGAACAGCTGCAGTTAACAACTGTGCCAAGAAAGGTCGTAAGATGGGGAAAAATTCACTTGACAAATGTTTCACTTAGCAACAGAAATTTGGGGCTCGGAAGCGTTTCGATGACGGCGGGGTCAGTGAGCGGAGTCTCCTGCCAGTTTTACTACCGGTTCTATAGAAGCGGTGCGAACTGGCGGTAACCGACCACTGGCGTATAGGGTCTCCTGTTTGATCAGGGAGTTGGACTAGAAGACTTCCAAGGTCCCTCCCAACTCTTGTTATTCTGGCAAGGATATTTCACACTGTTGGCCTTCAATTTGAGCGTCTCCAACTCTGAATGTAGAAACAGTCCTTTGAGGACTCACTGTTTCAACGACATTGCCCGCTTCCCGAGCAGATCACCCACGAGATGACTTCGGTCCAAGTCAGTTGCTAAGCCTACCAATCGAGGTTTAACATAGCATCCTGGCTGGGTTCCCGACTGCCCCTGACTAAACCCAAAACCGACCACATGATAGCCGAGCGGGATGGATAAAACCAGCCACGGAATGGCTTTGGAGCTGTTTGGCAAGCTGACAGTTGGGCTGTTGTTCAAGGCTGGGCAGATAGTTCTTGAGTTTCATCTGCTGCATCTTCAGAAACCATAGACTGACACAGCTCCCCTCCTAGAATCACCCTGGCATTTCAATAAAATCAGTCCTCCAGCATAAATGGGGCATTATGGGAATTGAAGTCCAAGACACCTAGAAAGTTCCATGTTGCAGCTTTCAGAAAGAATAGACAACTCATGAGAATTTTCTCTATCCAACCACTGTTCTCCAGCGTCTCGGAACAGAAATCTTTTCTCTGGCTTGAGATGCTTGGAGAACAGCGGTTGGATAGAGACATGAGTGACGTGACTCATTAGTTTTACTCTTCTTTCTGAGCTTATCAGTCGGAAAGCTGACAGACCGGGTTCGAGACCCGAGCGCCATGTGACGGGGTGAGCTCCCATTCCTTGCTCCAACTCCTGCCCACCAAGCAGTTCGAAAGCATGCAAATGCGAGTAGATAAATAGGTACCACTTTGGTGGGAAAGTAACAGCGTTCCATGTGCCTTGGCTTACAGTATTTATTTATTTATGAGATATATATTGCCGCCTGTTCGCACATGGCGACTCAAGGCGCCTTACAGAATATAAAATGTCATATAAAAACAATAAAACTAATAAAAGAGAGAATCATATATAATAAAATAACCCCCCACCCCACCCCGTCCTGGCTACAGCACCTCACCCAAGCTATCTAATGGGCTCCATCCCACTCTGGGTTCCCCAGGCCCGCTGGCAGAACCAGGTCTTCAGTGCCTTCCAGAAGAGTATTAGAATGGGTGCCAATCTAATCTCTGGGGGGATGATGTTCCAGAGAGAGGGAACCACCACGGAGAAGGCCATTCTTCTAGGTCCCACCAGGTGTATCTCCCTCAGGAATGGGACCCGCAATATTCCTTGCCTCCCTGCTCTGATGGGTCAGACAGATGTGACCAGCAAGAGATGGTCCCTCAGATAACCTGGTCCCAAGCCATAAAGGTGGCAATCAGCACCTTGAATTGCACCCAGAAGCAAATCGGCAACCAACACAGCTCCTGCAGAAGAGGTGTGATACATGTGCACACTGGGATCTGCACAAAACTATGCGGGCCGCTGCATTTTGCATCCACTGGAGCTCCCGGATGCTCTTCAAGGGTAGCCCCATGTAGAGCGTGTTGCAATAGTCAAGACGGGAAGTGATTAGGGCATCCAGAGGCTCCAACTGGCGCAGAGTGCGGCCACGCGGGTGGTAATGGGAGCGACATGGCGCTCCCATGTAACACCCCTCCTGCGCGAGCTGCACTGGCTCCCGGTGGTCTTCCGGGTGCGCTTCAAGGTTTTGGTTACCACCTTTAAAGCGCTCCATGGCTCAGGACCTGGGTACTTGCGGGACTGCCTACTACCACCAATAGCCTCCCACCGGCTGGTACGCTCTCATAGAGAGGGGCTCCTCCGGGTGCCGTCGGCCAAACAATGTCGACTGGCGGCCCCCAGGGGGAGAGCCTTCTCTGTGGGGGCACCTACTATCTGGAACGAGCTCCCCCCCGGAGATACGGAGGATCCCGGATCTGCGCACCTTCTGCCGCGCTCTAAAGACCTTTTTATTTCACCAGGCGGGCCTGGCCTAACTTTCTCCCTCTTTTTAAACAATTTTAATATTTTAATATTTTTAATATTTTTTAATCCTCAAAGTTTAAATCTGTTTTAAATTGACTGAGGTTTTAATCTGTCTGGGCCAAACTATTTAATTCGACTTTATTTCTGTTTTTTTTAAATTTTGTATGTATGTATTTTATTGTTGGCTGTTCACCGCCCTGAGTCCTTCGGGAGTAGGGCAGTATACAAATCAAATAAAATAAAATAAAATAAAATAAAATAAATAAATAAATAAATAAATAAATAAATAAATAAATAAATAAATAAATAAATAAATAAATACTCATCACATGGTCACATGACCACAGAAGCGTCTTCGGACAACGCTGGCTCCCTCGGCTAAGAAATGGAGATGAGCATCGCTCCCTAGAGTCAAACCCAACTGAAAAGGAGAAATCTTTACCTTTAATATACTTACCTGAAAGGTAGATCTTTTCTTTTTTTCCCCCTGTAATCACACATTTAAAACCCTCTTTTTTTGCTCTTCCAGCTGTGTCTGCAGGGTGTGATCAAAAGGTTAGGAAGGCAGCTGTGGCGGCGGGGATTGAAGTTCTACTTACTTTTGATGTGTGTCGCACTTCTTGACTTTTTCGACCTCCCCCTGCAGACCCCGTTGTGATCTTTTCTCGGCAGCATCCCTTACTTTTTGGGTTCGGTTTTATGAATTAATGGAGCGGATTTTGCTACTCAGAAAAGCTCAGCCGACAAGTAAACTGTCCGCCTCCATTTCTCCAGCTCAGCTTGTGGCTTGGGACTTCCACTCAAGCTTACAAATGACTTACATACCAAAGTTAAAATTTACAGGAAATTGCACGCAAGAACAAGTGCCCTTTTTTAAAAAATAAAAAATAAAAAATAGAGAGACACGCTGGGAAGAGTTATCCTTAAGCCAAGCAAGGAAGGGTTTGACAAATTATAGGCCAGAAGCTGTCATTAATGGTAGGGGAGGAGAAACCGCCCCCCCAGCACATATTTAATAGATGATGACCTTGAAATAATTGGGGTGCTCCGTGTTTGAAACTTTAATCAAGCTTTAGTTCGACGGCTCAACAGGAAGAGCTCACAGGCTGAGCAAGGCGAGACTTTGTAAGTTCCAGCGGATGCAGAAATGTTGACTTTCCGGAAAATTGGAGCTTGCTGTTAGAGGGTCAAAAAAGCAACGTGGCATGAATTGTAGATGAGTCATGATGTCATTCCTGGCCTCCAACCTTCCCTGGATGATAGCCTGGCTTTCAAAGCAGAAGTGGAAGCTTCTTTGAATGTTCTTCTACAGCTGGTCTCTAGGTTTTAAGACAGGGTATCTCTTCAAACTTCATAACGCGCTAAGCTTGTGGGTTTCCAACTTGGGTAATCGTGGCTTAGGGATGGTTGGGCATCCGACCTGTCCCGTTAGCTTGTGGTTCCATCTTTTGCCAACAGCTAGAAAGGGGTTGATTCAAGAAGCAGGTTAATTCTGTTGTGTGTGTGAACCTAGACAAACCAAGGCTAGATGAGACGGCATAAGTCAACTCAAGCAGTTTCTCCATTCTGCAGCGCACAGGAAAAACATGTCATATGCTCCACAGAGTGGTAGGCTGAAGAGAAATATCCCTTTCACACTCACGCACACATACCAATACTTAGTTTTGATCTATTGTGTGGCGTCCTATAAAGAAAGGAGAAAGTGCTTTTTTAAAAAGTTCAGACGGGGAACCGATAGCTGGAAAGAAATTAGCTGCCTTCTACTCTTAGAGATGGTCTCTAGGTCTTAAGTCAGGGTAACTCCAAACTTGGCAACTTGAAGACTTGTGGATTTCAACTCCCAGAATTCATAGCTGGCCCTTGAACTTCACAAGCCTTCAAGTTCCCAAATTTGGAGAGCCCCATCTTAAATCAGAATCTCACTTAGCTTCAGTGCACTTTTTCAAGAGCTGAAGCCAAGAATTAACCTGGTTTCACGAACTCTAGGTAGACCTCTTTGCCAAGAGGTTCCTTCTGGTTTAGGAACTTGGGAAGGGATCAATCAGGAATAGAATAGAATAGAATAGAATAGAATAGAATAGAATAGAATAGAAATAGAATAGAATAGAATAGAATAGAGTAGAGTAGAGTAGAGCAGAGCAGAGCAGAGCAGAGCAGAGCAGAGCAGAGCAGAGCAGAGCAGAGCAGAGCAAAAATAGAATAGAATAGAATAGAATAGAATAGAATAGAATAGAATAGAATAGAATAGAATAGAATAATAGAATAGAATAGGAGTTAGAGTGTAATGTAGTGTAGTGTAGTGTAGTGTAGTGTAGGGTAGGGTAGGATAGATAGGATAGGATAGATAGGATAGGATAGGATAGGATAGGATAGGATAGGATAGGATAGGATAGGATAGGATAGGATAGGATAGGAGTTAGAGTTTTGGGTAGGGTAGGGTAGGGTAGGGAGAGTAGGATAGGATAGGATAGGATATAGAATAGAATAGGAGTTAGAGGGTAGGGTAGGGTAGGGTAGGGTAGGGTAGAATATAAATAGAATAGAATAATAGAATAGAATAGAATAGAATAGAATAGAATAGAATAGAATAGAATTCTTTATTGGCCAAGTGTGATTGGACACACAAGGAATTTGTCTTTGGTGCAGATGCTCTCAGTGTACATAAGGAGACTAAAATACATTCATCGAGAATAAAAAGATACACTTAGTGATAGTCAAGGTTACTAATAAGATATCAAATCATACTAGGAAACAAAAACAATATAAATTGAAAGATACAAGCAACATGGTTATAGTCATAAGTGGGAAGAGATAGATACTAGGAAGGAAGAGAAGAATACTAGTCTTAGTGAATAGTTTGACAGTGTTGAGGGAATTATTTGTTGAGCAGAGTGATGGCGTTAGGGAAAAAACTGTCCTTGTGTCTAGTTGTTCTGGTGTGCAGTGCTCTATAGAGTCATTTTGAGGGTAGGAGTTGAAACAATTTATATCCAGGATGCGAGGGGTCTGTACATATTTTCCCAGCCCTCTTTTTGACTCATGCAGTAGACAGGTCCTCCATGGAAGGCAGGTTGGTAGCCATGGTTTTTTCTGCAGTTCTAATTATCCGTTGAAGTCTGTGTCTGTCTTGTTGGGTTGCAGAACCAAACCAGACAGTTATGGAGGTGCAGATGACAGTCTAGATCGACTCCTTAGCATTGTTATTCTGGAAGTAGATTTTTTTTTATTTTTTTAACCCAAATACTTCTCTCTTGCCTTTAGAAGAAACCACAAAGCTGCATGGTGGACCTCCGAAGAACTCCTACATGGAGCAGAGCTTCCAAGGGCTCAATCCTGTGCTAAACATTCCAGTCAGCACTGGCCAACTGGAACAGTTGAAGAAGAACGCCATGTTGACGGGCACCAAGCTGGAGAGCTGGGTGGACAGTTTGGTGGGAAGCGTGTGGTCAGCGGTTGATGTCTGTACTACAGGCCCAACTTCCTGTCCTGTCATGCAGGCCTGCAGCCAGACATCCTGGAGTTCCCTCAGCCCCGATCCAAAGTCCGAGTTGGGCCCCGTGAGACCAGATGGACGCTTGAGGTAGCACCTGGTACCCCTTTTGCTGGCTTTAAAAAGGAACCTGAGCGTTTGGCTCTCGTGATCACCTTCGGATGGGGTTGGTACAGGTTGCTGGTGAGCTGATGGAGGGAGTCTTTAAGAAAACCTACGAATCCATGTTCAAGACGGCCGGGGCTGAAAATCCCAGCCTCTCTTACTGACCAGTTTTGCCATCTCAAAGGTTTTTGGAAGTCGGGGAAGAGGCAGGAAAGGCGAAACCAATTGTAGGAAACGACTGAAGTTTCTAAAGGCGGGGGCAGCATATTTTCAACCCTGATCGGACTTAATTTATTTCTCAAAACACTAATATGCTGTATCCCGGTCCCTATTATTTTTTTCATTTCCCCAAAAGCAAAGCAGCTTAGCCACAATTGCTAAAATTCCTCTTCCCGTCCCCCCCCCAGTGGTCCTCATTATTCAAACCTCCCCCTTTGACATCTCACAAAAAGCATTGACATCATGACTCCAGATAGCCAAACTTGCAAAGTTTGATTATATTGAATCCACAGACGGTACAATATTATAGAGAGTTAATCTCACCCTCTCGTGCCAACAGAGATTCAGAGTTTGGTCCTCCCGATGAGCTAATGATCACCCAAGATCTTCTCTAGACTAAAGGGGTGGGGTCTCCAAACTTGGCGACTTTTAAGACGTGTGGACTTCAACTCCCAGAATTTCTTAGCGGGTTGAGGAATTCTGGGAGTTGAAGTCCACACGTCTTAAAAGTTGCCAGGTTTGGAGACCTCTGCTCTTCCAAATACAGCTACTGAGAGAGCCAGCTCAAAGGAGAAAGTCAATCCGGAGTGTTGAACTTTTCACATCCACAGCTCAGATTGGAAAGTAGTTTTCCAGAAATCCCTGCCACACCCCCCCCCCAAAAAAAATATATTTTTGTCTAGGGATTTCTGTGTGTCTAGTTAGACACTAGACTGTTACCATCTGAATCTCAGTATTTTCTTTTGGGGGGGGCTCAGAAAGCAACAGATAACTATCCCCCCCCCCTCGGTTCCAGTAATCATGAGTGATGGGTCATGTTCAAAGAGCTGTGTTCAGCATCTTTTTAACCAGGTTAGATCAAGTGATTCAATTCAATAACGTGCTAAGCTTGTCGGCTTTCAACTTGGCTAATCGTGGCTTAGGGATGGTAGGTAGGCATCCGATCTGTTTCGTTAGGTTGTGGTTCCATCTTTTGCCGACAGCTAGAAAGGGCTCAATTCAAGAAGCAGGTTAATTCTGTTGTGTGAACCTTGACAAACCAAGGCTAGATGAGACGGCATAAGCCAAACTCACGCTGTCATATGCTCCGCAGAGTGGCAGGCTGGAGAGAAATATATCCCTTTGACACACAGACACATACCCCCACAAACGCCAATGCTAAGTTTTATATCTGTTGTGCGGTGCCTCGTAAACAAAGGAGAAAGTGCTTTTTAAAAAAGTTCAGACGGGGAACGGTTAGCTGGAAAGAAATTAGCTGCCTTCTACTCTTAACACGGCATTCCATCTGACGGAGAAAAATGGAAAAGGCCATTTTTCAGACTAAAACCAAGGAGTATCCGTTTGAATCCAGTTTTGTATTTATTTATTTTTTTAACTCTTTGCAGGCTCCGTCCGAGTCATATTTTAGCTTTGGGACCTGTTGAGATTAAGTCAAGGGTGCAAAAAAAAAAAGAAAAAAAAGCCAAATTTTATTCCTGATTAAATGACCTCATCCTAACTGATCTTTAGTGAATTACTTTAGCCTAAATTACCCTCGGACAACAGAGGGACGAAAGTTTCTGTGCGGAGATACACTACTAGAAGACCTCCCAAGGTCCCTTCTGACTCTGTTATTCTGGATCTTCAGTTCATATATCCACTGATGGGATCCTCTGGGATCCGATCGATCGATTTTTTTAACAAAAGCGGTCTTTCTCCTTTTTGGGGCCCTTCCTCTAATTTCGAACCCAGCTCACATTTAAAGACCACGAGAAGAGCCGAAGGGCTGAGAAGATAACCAGGAACAACAAACAACAGCAAAACCGGGTTACCCTTTTTAAAACGAGTTCAGATTTAAACCTGACATTGGGAAGACCATGAATTCTACCCCTTTCCTCCTCGGTTTAAAGCTACGAGAGTTTGCTTTTTGGACTTTTGAAACGGCAGCGTCAGCTCTGGGAGGCGTAAAGGCAGAGCATTAAATATTTAGCCGGAGTTAGAAAGGAGACAACGGATGTTACGTGTTTATTTCTTCTTTTAAGTCAATGACCAATGGTTAGAGCACTGCTTACACGCAGTGTAAGGGAGGGATCTTCCCTTGCGAACTAGTGCTTGTCTCTGTTCAGCAAAGGCCTTTAAAACGAAAGAAAAATAGGTGGGTTTTTTACCCATTCCCTCTCCTTTCCGTTCCCCCCTTTTTTGCTTTTGATCGACTTCTCCCCCCCCCCCAATTACTGACAATAATCACTAGAACGGAGGTCCCCCAATGTAGGAATGACATCATCTCCAAGCATGTACAGGTAGTCCTCGATTTACAACAGTTTCTTTAGGGACCGTTCAAAGTTTCAACGGTACTTGGAAATGTGATTTACGAGCCGTTTTTCACACGAGCCAGACTCACTTAACAACCGCGATACTAACGTCACAACTGCCGCAATCAATTTAACGGCTGTGGCAAAGCAAGGTCGTAAAACGGGGCGAATCTCGTTGAACCACTGTTTCACCTAGCCGCAGAAATGTTGGGCTAGGTTGGGGTTGTAAGTCGAGGAGGATCTGTACAGTTGGGGCTTTTAGGAGTTACGCTCCTTGCCTTCGGGGGAGACTCCTAAAGACCGGGAGATATTTTACTCAAGGTGCTCCAAGTGAGAAGACAACTCTTCCATCCCAAGCCATCCAACCAAAAGTATCATTCCATACGGGCATCTCCATCATGAAGAGCTTTCTGTGGCCTTCATGTGGTATCTCCATCTGTCCATTCAGCCATCCACATCTGTCACAAGACGTCTCCTAGGACAGGTGTCTCCAACCTTAGCAACTTTAAGACTTGTGGACTTCAACCCTCAGCTGGGAGTTGAAGTCCACAAGTCTTAAAGTTGCTAAGGTTGGAGACACCTGTCCAAGGAGACATTGCCTTGTTTCTTCCATAGAGAACTTTCCTCTGATCCAAACAGAGAAACATCTAAGTCTCTGCTGAAGATCAGACGATGGTGATCAGATGGCCTTTGTTTCTGACCCAAAGTTCTCATTCTAAAGGACCAATAAGTTTCAGATCAACACTCCCATCATGCCGTCATCTTCAATTTTGGTCTGTTGCAAGGTGTATTTGTCGAAGGAAGCAAAATATACAGTTCAGGATAAAGGCACCCTGTTGTGATACGGCGGCGGAGAGATAGCTCAGGAGAACGAGTTGAATGCAGCACAAATTTAAGAGGCGCATCATGTGTGGTGAAACAAGAACGAGAGTTGACGTCCACCTATCTGGAGGGTGCAGGAGGTTCTGTGGGGTAGGGCTGTTGGGATTGTTTTCAGAAGAAAGATCCGCTTCAGAAATTAGTGAAGAAGAGGTACACCTCGTGTCTCCACCATCTACAATCTGCCTTGCAACAAGGTTCCTCCTGAGATTATGAGCCAAGAAAGGTTGCATGGATCTTACATTCCTTTCCAGACCTGAAATCTAAGAAACTCTACTATACAATATGGGTCTACTCTACTCCAGTCAGTGCCTTCCAAATATGCCTTCCAGTCAAAACTGGGAGGGGGGTCACAGACCTAAATATCCAGAGGACACACCAAGTGGTCAAGACTGCTTCCAGGGGGTGGGCTTCCAGAATTTGAGCAAGGGGTTCTCTGCCTGGTTGCTGGGTGGGCTTGGCCATGGTGGGCGTGGCCTAGTCGGCCTCCTGCACCACAGCAGTGGGGCATGTTTTTGCCCTCCCCGGGCTCCAAAGGCTTTTCTTGAGTCTCTGGGAGGGCGAAAATAGCCTCCCCGGGCTCTGTAGGCCCTCCGGAGGCCGGAAAAGGCCCCATTTCCGGCCTTCCTGAACTTCCGGTAGGCCCGTTTTTCACCCTCCCCGAACCTCAGCGTGCGCCCTGCACTTAACCTGCATCCAAAACGGGCTGCGTGGGGACTCCCGGGAGGGGCGGGGTAGGGTGGGCAGGGCCAGCTAGGAGTGGGATTTGGGGGGTTCTCCGAACTGCACAGAATCTTAGCTAGAGGTTCTCCCAAATCCCTGCGAACCCCCAGAAGCCCACCCCGACTGCTTCCCCTCTGCATCTTACACAAGCTTTTATTTTTATTTTATTTTATTTTATTTTTAAGGAACCTATCCCTTCAGATTTGCTCCTGCTGACTTTCTGCTTTCCTATCTTCCATGGTTTTTGGAATTGATGGTGCAAACCCAGTAACCCTAGATATGGGATATTCAATTTTGATTATTTTTAAGACTTGGGGGACTTCCAACTTCATGCTGGCTGAGGAATTCTGGGAGTTGAAGTCCACAGGTCCTCAAAATTACTAAGTTTGGGCGCCCATGCCCTAGATGGTTTGTGAAGGTCCTGTCAAGAAGCCAGGAGTCCCACCGGCAGATGCTATTTGTCCCTTAAGGTTTCTTTGGCCGAACAAACCCAAAGCTTGACCCATCTAATTGCGAGTCAGAAGCTCTTTTGATCTCACTTCCTGCCGTTCCCAAACGCAAGGGGAGCCAAAAGGGTTGAGATTCAGCCAAGTGGAAAATATCCGATAATCGCAGGACACGTGAAATAGGAAATCATTGTTTTCATCCTGGGATTCAGAAGCATTTTTTTCCTCCAAAAAACCCCAGCCATTGGAAGCAATTTGAGCAGCTAAAGTTCTCGACCAAAACAGTTGCTGTGAATTGGGTGGGGGGAGGGGGCGGGAAGGAGGGGGGGAGTGACAACTACAGGCAGTCCTTGACTTACAACAGTTCATTTAGTGACCATTCAAAGTTACGGCGGCACAGAAAAATGTGATTTACGGCCGTGTTTTTTTCACAGTTCCGACCGTCGGGGCATTCCCCCATGGTCATGTGATTCAAAATTCAGACGTTTGGCATCTGTCTCCTCTTTATGATGGTTGGGGTGTCTCGGGGGTGATGTGGGTTGCTAGCGTAACAGCCGCGGCGATTCACTTAACCACCACGGCAAGAAAGGTCACAAAATGGGGCGAAACTCACTCAAACATCTCAATTAACCACCGAAATTTGGGGCTCCGTTGTGGTCGTAAGTCGAGGATTACCTGTAGAGACCCCCCCCCCTTCCAAATGGTTTGAATAGTTCTTTCCACTATGGACGTACAATCTTAGAAAGGAAGGCCGATTTCCCATGCCGACCAACTCTCGTTTCAGTCCCTTCTGGTTTTTTGTTTTGTTTTTAATCGTTTCTTGCCTTCTTCTTTTGCTCACGGGTGCTACCAAAGGTACTACCTCACTGATAATTTTTTTAAAAAAATTACGTTCGTTTGAGGAAAAACAGAAAACCGGACGAGGGAGGAAAACGGGGTTTTTTTAAAAAAAAAATCTCTTTTGAGTTGAATGTACAATCTATGCAAATTCTCTCTCTTTCTCTCTCTCTTTCTCTCTCTCTTTCTCTCTCTCTGTCTCTCTCTCTCTTTCTCTGTGTCTTTCTCTCCGTCTCTTTTTTCTCTATTTTGGTAATCAATAAAAGTAGAAGGTGGGGAAAGAAAGAAAGAAAAAACTTCTCTTAAGTATTAGATTTGTAAAAAAAAAACACAAAAAAACCTTGCCAAATAAACAGCAAGATACTGTACAGTCGTCTCTGATAGCAGAGCTCTTTCATATCCGGCGCAATTGGTTGTGCTGCCTTTGTATATTATAAAAAATAATAATAATAATACTGGCTCGTTCTTTGATTCCGTTTGTGATTAAGGAAATATATATATAGATATAAATATATATATCACCTTTGATGGGTTTAAAACACACACACACACACAAAAAAAAAGAAAACCACAAAAAAAAATATAGAGGTTCTTTATGCTGGATATGCTGGATACGTGCTCCATTGGTTCGTCAGTTGCCATTAAGAACAGCGGAAAAGCTTGTTTTTCAAAAGTTTGTGAGACTTGGGAGGCTGTGGGTTGAACAGATTTCCCTATGGGAATCCTTATTTCCAACTCAGTATTTCATGCCATGGCATCCAATGAGTTGCTCCTTTTTTAAAAAAGAAGCCTTAAGGTCCTCCATCGTGGTGATTGTTGGTTGGTTTGTTTGTTTTTTTTTAAACGTGGCCTTAAAAAAATAAAATAAAATAAAATAAAATAAATAACAATCGTGTTTGGAAGTTTTAGCTGTTGTATGTTCTTTCTTTCTGGACAATTGTCAACGTATTAAAACGAAAAACGGGAAAAAAAATACCGCTTTCAAACGGCTGTGATCTTTTTTTTGTTCTTCTCCTTCTTCTTCTTCTTCCACTCCTGTGTAATTACCACCTCCGACGCATCGTGTTAAAGATTACAGGTAGTCCTCGACTTACAACGGTTCGTTTAGGGACCGTTCAAAGTTACGACGTCACTTATTATTATTTATTATTAGTCATATTTCTATGCCGCCCACTCTCCGAGGATTCTGGGCGGCTTATACCAAAGACAGTATACTAAATAGCATATTGCCCCCCACAATAATCTGGGTCCTCATTTTACCACCTCAGAAGGATGGAAGGCTGAGTCAACCTTGAGCCGGTGGGATTTGATCCGCTGATCTG